AACGTCGCGATGTAGGGCATCACGTCGCCAGTTTGGGTCAAACCATGAAGCTTGGTTAGAGCCTCAGTCATCCGGTCGACCGGGTGGAAGGATTCGGTGAAAGCCTTCCTGAAGTCCTTCCAGCTACCGAAGTCGACGGGGGTCTTGTCGAAGGCTGCTCGGTAGAAGGTGTCCGCCCAGACGCGGGCGTCTCCATCGTTCATATACTGGAGTGCAACAGCGACCTTGGTTTGGTCGGAGCTGTAGATCGTCGAGTTGATGAGGAAGTATGTCTCCACCGAGTACATCCAGCGCTCGGCATCATCGATGTTTCCATCATAGTTCTGTGGTACTCCAGCCTTTAGTTCAGGTCTGGATACGACCACTGTTGGTTGTGGGGTGGGGCCTCCGGACATTCTTGTTCCAGGGTTCGAGTTGAGGTTGCCGTACGGTTGTTCGTCGGGAAACTCGTCGGAGGACGTATGGTCTTCTTCCGATTCTTCTTCTTCTTCGGAGTCCGGAGTGTTGGGGTCGCGTTCCCAAGGGTACTTCGGGGTCCAGGTAGTCGTGGTGTCTGTCGGTTAATGGCCGTGCGGATGGCAGGGCACAAAAAGGGGAAACTTGAATCTTTTGTTACGCACTCAAATAGATCTGTTATGCGGAGCCCTAAGAGGGGCGTCGTCCGCTAACGTTCGTGACGTAACCGGAAGGGTCCGGTGTAGCGACTGAGACTGGCGACGTCGAGTCGGCAGATATCAGAGACGCGCGTGTCACGTGACTTCTAAGACGGATGTCTTCAAAGTCACTGACGATCTCAAAGTAAGGACAGTCTTGTCCGAACGATGAGTAGTCGATCGAGGTGGACTTAAGCGCGATGAGCACCTAAGAAAAGATACTAGAGACTGAAGCTGAGGGGGCTTCAGAGGGAAGTATGTTCGAGGGAAGATTGAGTAGATTCAAGTTAGGGAATCTAGTACAGAGTGACCGACTACTTATACTAAGTGGAAAGGGTTAAGGGCAAGGCTACCGTACTGTAGGTAAGGGCAAAGGGGAAACGGAAAGGGTATAGGTACGATGGTGGCAGAGCCTGATTAGTGATGTAAGGTCGAATGCGGAATGAGACCGAGAAACGTTGGAACGAGCCAACGGTAAATGATACAATGTGCATTATGCACGAGTCAAAGGAAAGATAAGACAAGATAAGGAAAGCCACATTGGTGGCACGAGTCAGAACGAGTCATAGCCCGAAGGCACGTGCGCACGTTGGTGCGATGAGAGGGGGATGAGGGACGGGAACGGTCCCGAGGATCCGGTCAACGGATAGTCGGTAGAGAAGTGCGAGCCGGAGGCATACGAGGGCGAGGACGAAGGGGAAAAATGATAGGGGGGCCATGTAGCCGATGTTACTTGTAACAGATTGCATCCGCTAACACATTCGGAATTTCTGCGCCGACTCGACAGCGCTTCGTCTGCGTTGGAATTAGAAGGGCTGAAAGGTCATGGAATTCGTATTGGGAGTACTCTGGAGTACTTGCTGCGGGGAGTTCCCTTTGAGACTGTGAAGGCCATGGGACGTTGGAGCGGGGACACTTTCCTTGGATATCTTCGTCAACACGCCGTCGTCATGGCTCCTTACCTCCATGATAGTCCTGTTTTACAATCTTTCACGCGATATGCATTGCCGCCCATGTGTTAAACTTGTGAGTCTCTGCTCTCCGACTATCCTTTGGGGACAAGCATGCGCTAGCTGCGTCGTGTCACTCCTAGACTTTGGGGATCTCTGCTCATGCTTTCCTTTCTTTCAGAACCTGAAGTTGTGTTTCGGTCGAACAAACCAAAATGGTTTCTTCCCCAAAATCTTTGTTAGCATTTCCTCGTAGTCATATCGTAGTTTGTTGATGCTTGTTCCCTTGTCTGACAATTCAAAATATTTATATTGAATTGGTCCAGACCGAACCAACCTTTAGGATCCAGAACATAGATCTGGTTTTAGGTAGGTGTGAGGCACGAGCACGTGCCAAAAACAAAGTCTATGTAGGGACCGATTAAGGTTAGAAAAGCATCCTTTTCTTCTCGCTACCACCAACTCGGTGCAAGTGCGTGTATATTGATTGTTTATTGCTAGTCCCTAGTCTCTAATCATCGATATTTAGAATCAAAATCACCCACCCTCCCCCCTCACTTTCCTGATCCCATGACAGGTTCTGAGCTTGGACATCAGAGGGCACTACTTCATCTTAATGTTTCTCACTCTAACCACTCTATTTTACTGGGTGCTCTAGAGCTGTTCATTTTGTCGCTACTTTAGTTCCTGGTTGTGCTCCAACCTTAATTTTCCTGTGGCATTTTGGTTACAGTACTAGGCTTTCATCGCCATTTTGTGTCCTGTTTGGCTCCGTCCTTGAGCCTAGACCTCAAAATTGCTCTGGTCTTATTCCATGCTTTGTCTTTCATTCTTTACCCTCTAACATCATCATCATCATCATATATATTTTGTCTGTGGATCCCCCTGCTGCCTCTCGTTTCTCCCTAGACTCTGCATCCCTGGCTCCACCCTCTTTACCTTCACCCTCTGCAACAGCCATCACTGCCTCTCTCTACATTGACATTACACAGTCCTCATCATTGGCAGACTCCTGGTCATTTGATGGCCACCTGCCTCATGATCAGGGTGCCATCACCCTGTTAGGGGTCGGAGATAGCATTGATGTCTATCGTCCAGCATGTCTTCACTCTTCAGAGGCCCATCATCTTTTACAGGGCCCTGTTTTTCAGGGCACACTTTCCCGAATTGCTGGGTGGAGTGCCACAGTGGTGGAATTTGGTGTTATCATTGACAGTCCCTTCCCCACTCACCTGACCACCATCCAGTTCCCTCTCTCACTCTGTCGTTTATCCTTGCCACAACGGCTATGGAGTTGGATTTGTCCATGGCCTAGATGTCATCCTCTGTCTGTGACTCAACCGGGTCTTCATCACGTACCACCCTGCCTTAGTGATGACCTTGTGTGGAGACATTCAGATGTGTAGATGGGGTGCCACTTGTGGGCTCCACTTTTCTCTGACTTGATGCACACCTTCATTTGTGAGCTGCTCTGGGTCCCACCCACCCATCTCTGCTCATGCTTTCCTTTCTTTCAGAACCTGAAGTTGTGTTTCGGTCGAACAAACCAAAATGGTTTCTTCCCCAAAATCTTTGTTAGTGTTTCCTCGTAGTCGTATCGTAGTTTGTTGATGCTTGTTCCCTTGTCTGACAATTCAAAATATTTATATTGAATTGGTCCAGACCAAACCAACCTTTAGGATCCAGAACATAGAATGAATGAGGCCTATCTTAGACCTCACTCATACACCGGTTCATCACGTGACGTAGCGTGACATTTCAACCAAATTGCATGTAAGTCATTGTATACAAAACGCGAGAGAAATCTGTTCCAGTGTTATGTGCAGATAGTTTGTAGCAAGCCGTGCATGTAGTTATTATGATATAATGTAGGAAACTGAGAGACGAGTAGGTATTATGTTGTCGAGCAAGCACACTAACGTGACTGATGCTAGTGCAGCAGTCACGAATGTGTCACAAAGGTGAATTTGCTACAAAAATGCCTACTCCTCCTTCAGTTGGCCGAAAATGAGGATTCTGAGTAGACCATTTTGATATTATAGTACATACCCACAAGATACTGGAACAGAATTAGCTAATTCTAATTTGAAACAAAGTAACGAGCCAAAATCGTGCATTCTCCCCTCAAATCACGTGATGAACTGATGTATGAGTGAGGTCTATCTTACATGATTTTGTTTGTCCACAAGTCCGACTGTATCATCAACCTCCAGTAAAATGTTAAATACCATACCCCTTCGAATTTTCGAAGATCACGAGGGGATCATATACGCAGTCGCAGTATTCCCCGATAAGCAACGGATAGTCACTGCCTCGAACGATAAGACACTTCGTTTGTGGGACTTGAAGACAGGTGTTGTGTTGAAGAAGATGGAAGGGCATAGCAGCAGTGTCCGGGGATTGGCGGTATCACGAGATGGGAAATTGATAGCAAGCGGTGATAGAGGCGGAGATCTCATCATCTGGGACGGTGGAACTGGAGAATCCCTCACCCAACCCATTAAAGTCAGCCTCAAGTGGATCACCTCGCTGCATTTTTCTCCTGATGGTACGGTGCTGGCCGCTAGTTCATCTGACCATACGATGAAGTTTTGGTGTACCAAAACGTGGCAGATGCAAGGAGATCCAATCGAGTGTGGTCTGATCCACTGTGTTCGGTATTCGCCTTCTGGTGAACTTCTTGCCATCGCAACAACAGACGATATCCAAATTTATAATCCAGGCGCCAGGAAACAGATCGCATCTTTCAAGGGTCACAAATCACACAACCTTTCACTCACGTGGACGCCTGATGGCACACGCCTTCTCACGAGCGGGAATGATTCTGATCCTACCATACGCGAATGGGATTCATTGACTTGGAAGCAGGTCGGTCATCCCTTGATAGGCCACACTCGTAGTGTCTTTGTTGTCATTGATCCCACTGGCACCATCATCGCTTCTGCATCTAATGACAACCAGGTCCGTCTCTGGCGGTTCTCAGATCGACGAACCATCGCCATCTTCCAACACTCATCCGGCCTCACATGTGTCACGTTCTCTTTGGATGGCAAGCACATCCTCAGCGGAGGTGATGATAATAAGATCTCAGAGTGGGCAGTACCCAAGGACGCTCATTCAAAGGCGAGTTTCCATTCCCGACTCATAACATAATTCGAGCATATTTTGTGCAGATCCTGGCTGTCACGCTAGCCCGCGATGCGTGCATCACTGGAGACTTGTCTACCGCCGAAGAGCTGCTCACCCAAGAGATCGACACCGATGCCAACGGCTATACTTCATATGCCCATCGGTCATTCATTAGGGCCCGAAAACGTGCCTGGGACCACGCCCTTCAGGATGCAATCACAGTGAGATGATCTGACCCATCATAGCCCTCTTACGAGAAGGCTAACCTTCATTCGCGACATAGTCCATCAGCATTGAGTCTTCATTGACTGGCTATATATCCAAAGGCATTGCCCTCTGCGGAAAAGGTCGTGTCCGGGAGGCAAGGATAGCATTCCATATCGCATCCTTGTTCACGAACCGAGATCCAGCCAACAACCATTTTCTTCTCCTGATAAAGGTAGGTCAAATTCGTATCGCATATCCTTTCCTTCATTTTGTATTTCAGGCCATTGCACTCTTCAATGCAGATCAACAGGAGGAAGCGATGCTGTTCATCAAAGAACTGGCTACCGCTGGTCCGAATGCCGATCTTCTGGGGTGTCGTGTCGTGGAAGTAAGTATCGTGCGATCATATTATCAACACTGATCCTTGCAACCTCGCGCATTAGATATATCTACGTGTTCAACTCGGAATCAAAGCTTCGGATGGTGCGCGTCACGACGAAGCCGCCGATCATTTCACTGCCGCCGTCAACGCCAGCGCTCTTTCATCGAAAATCATTCATTTGATATACGAGGACTTGGTCATGGTGCGTCAAGATGATGCATGTATCATACTTTTCATAACTGAGTGTTTGGTCCAGCTCTTCGGCTGGGATCTCAGGTCCTTGTTGCTCACGACACACCAGAAACGGTGCCAGGCATTCCTCTCCGCAGGTAAACTCGACGAAGCCCTCAAAGCACACCAATACATGATGGACGCCATCGACGAAACCGCGAAGGCCAGCTGCCATGATTGGTCCAATGGCAAGTTCTCAGTGATATCACCCAAGGTTATCATACTCATCCGCACTTCACCCAGAATTTAAAGAGCAATGTAATACTCTTGCTGCGCCGTATGCCACGACCTCAACAGCGCCCTAGGCGCCTCCAAAGTCTCAGACTCGCTATGACGAGAACCCCTCATTCAGGTCCTCCACCTGTACCACCCAAGCCGCCGCCGCTACCACCTTCAAAAATTCCTAATGACACCTCTTCACCCGGCTACCCCATCACGCAATGCCACTCATTGTCGGTATTCCTTTTGCGCAAGGTCGATAAGTGTACCCAGTCGATTTTCTATCTCTGTCTTGGGTGTCCGATCCGTGAATCTACAGCATAGTGCTGCAGCGGGTGCTCCTGGGACTGACGACTCCTTGATACGTGATGAAGACTATCACGGACCTCCTACACCTCAATTTACAACAGCAAGAATATCTTGGTTCCATTGTCGCTTGTAATGTGTACTGCTTGCAGTACTTATTTTATTGATAGTGATGGCTACATCTGTATTTTGCACCATCATTCATAGCTAATCATGACCATCTTCGCGTCCCCCATGTGTACAGCTTGGCTTGTGTATAGTAATCATCATGATACCTTTTGACTTTTACCTGAGGACAATGCTTTGTCAAAATTAGTAGGTGTCTTGAATCTGCCTGAGTCCTGCACGGACAATGAATTGGAGAACGACCTCCATGATGACGAGACAAAGATTTTCCAGGCTGATGGTGGAGGACTCTGAGAGTTGAAACATAGCTGCACCAGTCAGGTATTCGAAAACCTATGACTTTCGGTCGATGACAGCAAGCTAAAATAAACATCTTACTGGACATCCCATGGACCATACGTCGATGGGTGTAGACCACCCATGTCCCAGAGTAACTTCTGGTGCGCGGAGGAGAAGAGGTTGAGCTAATTCTACTCGGCGTTCTTTGACAGGTGTTGCTGTCAACAGGATAAATGAGATATCATCGTTCGTGTGAGAGGTCACTAACCTTAACCATGATCAATCGAACAAACCTTGATGTTGCTCGCATCCTCCCGAAGACCGAAATTAGGGAGGGGCTGCGACTTTACTGTGATAATAGGTTCAGGAGATAGAATGGGCTCAAAACGAGGTTCATATGTGGCGGATGGCGTTTCTTCTGGTCAAGGAGACAAGTTATAGCTTCATCTTCGTAGTCCACACAGACAAGAACGTTGTCGGGCTTCACATCTTAAAGACTACGTTGTCAGTTACAAACATTGGTAAGAATAGAATATATACCTGTATGTACGACTCAGCCGCACTTCTTGCGCTCCAACATCGTGAGCGGTTTGTCCCATCTGAGGGCCTGGGAGGGCTCAAGAGTCTTTAAAAGGGTATGGCAAAACTTGAAGCTTGAAGTACATTTAATTTAAACAGGAAATGGAGCAAAGAACGAACAACCACCAGAAGACAAAGCTATGCCATGTTGACGGTTCATGACGGGTACTTGAGTTGGGATTTGCTCTAAACACATATTATTCTGGTCAGTGCTGAATCTCGTTATCGCAGTGACTGTCGTTGATCTGTACATGGACCGACATATCGCCTAAAGGCGAGCCAGTAAGGTTGTGGGCATCAGTGCTAGCAAGGAATCGTACGATGCAGTGTGGTTTCTTGTGGAGCGCAACGAAGGTTTGCTTTCATACTTACTAGATCGGAATATACTAATCTGAAAATTGTTGTTGTTTGGACTCAAAAAGGCTTTGCCAAATAAACTTGGCCGCATCCCTCACTAAAAGTCGATTTAAAAGCTACCCTGAGCCTGCAGACTGCCGCGGTGCCGGTAAGACCTTCCTGGGTCATATCCAGCGTACCGGTCTCCCGTATGCGTGTTAGGGAAGAAATGTGAGAATCTGTTTTGCTTTTAGACTCGGGCGAGCGTTATTAACATGCATTTGAGCGTGAGTAACCGATAATCACAAGTCCAGTCTCCGTTCCCAGTCGACTTCATTCATCCATTTTCGTGGGTCCCCTGTATGGCCTGACATGGTTAAATTCGAGTCTCGAATCTTCGGACATGCACAGGAGATACCAGACGTTGAGTTTGAACTGCATTCTTAGTGGAAGTTGTTGTAAAGCCCATGATCGAGAAAAGGTCTAAACTGTGGAGTTACGGTGAAAGATTCTTGTTCCTTGGGATTCAGCGTATGTCGTGCTCGCCTCCCATTTATCTCCTTAAAGTTTAGCCCATGAAGCCTTGCGGCCGACGAAGGAGTTTCACACTTGCCTTCGCAATTCAGTTTATTATTCAGTAGAATCGGTACCACATATCCCCGCGCAATGCCTCAAGTGCGTTCGCTCTCATCTGCATATCTTTATGATCCGATCACTTTTTGAATCAGATCTCACCATCGATGATATAGTGATATCGTCCAGTAGCAAGTAATACCAAGACTTCGAACTTGACTAGCAAGATATTTCAAGACCTCATGACACGGGTATTGGACCTTCTATTCATCGCACCTAACCAACCTTAGGCAAGCTAGTCCTTGGCATTGCATTCGCATACGTTTCTTACATATCTCCACTCCAGCATCCGAGTTCGTTCTCAGACTAATGCCTAATCCGGCGTCTCTTCGGGTTTTGTCTCGACACATCGAGCAATGTCCGCCTCAGCGTGGCTACAGAACGATAGTGCCATTATCCCCGTACAAGGAGAACCCCTGCTTCATTCCTTCCAATCAGCGGCAACCCTTCTCGCCTCCGTCTCAGATAATGCGATTGTAGTCGTGGGTCTGGCTAATCAGAAGAACTGAAAGCGCAAACAGACCAACTCGATTCTAAAGTATTCGCACCAATCGGAGATCGGGAAGATGCGGGTAAGAAGATGCTGATTATGCAACAGCGCCGAACTTTTTGATATGACGAAATCCGGCCCGCAACTACATACGAGGAAGAAACACACAAGAAAGACGCACAGGGTACGTGCTCGATGTTTTTTTATACTTTCCTTTGTCCCAATAGTCCAGTATCCCACAATCTTTTACTGCATTGGCAGACTATCATTTATCTCCATTCTCTTCCCGCGGAAATGATGTATGTTTACGTGACTAGTAGCAGCTGCCTCGAAGTCATGCTTAGAGTATGGCAATTTTACGATTGTAAGATACATGCTAGGTTCAAAGCGATAACAAAACTCATGCGTTTAGATGATGGTTCAATCTATCCGAATAACCTTATGTCCGGAAGGCTTCGCCTTCCCATCCTGACAAGCGTTGATATGCTATATCGCTCCTATGTGTGGTCTGTATCTGTTCGTTGTAGGTGGGTACCAGACTGAAGTCTTCGGATAGGGGCTATTCTTGTCCTGTTGGACTCGATTTGAAGCTTGAAAGTTGGGACCAATGCCACAAAGCTGACATAAAGTGTAGCCGGCGATGTTCGAGCATGGCAGAAGGAGTAAATGTATACATCCTTCGGAATCCAAAACAGATTCGCCAGTAATCCTGTCGGACTAATCTCCGATGGCTTGGCTAGCCAGGCTAGGACTATCATCACGCAATGGTGCGTACACGTACTCGGTACATACCGGTATCGTAATATCTTTCAGAGTGTAGGATCACCTTGTAAGCTCCCCCTTTGACTGTATAAGAAGCAATAGATTATGAGTCAGATAATCAAAATTTTGCTGCTTCGTCTTTTTCAATTTGCGACTCATGGCTACTTTAACCGTTGCAGAAGCGCCTTCTGGGTCTGAACACAAGACGCCACGTCAAAAATCGGACGTCAAGGTGTTCACAAGCGCAAATGATACAATTGACATAGAACATGCTCCGGTCAATGACGACCCCCGTCAGTGGAGTCGTACCAGAAAGGTGTGTGTATGACACTTGCATTATGTGACCCACCTGACGCTGTACCACCTGTAGACGCTGACTTTGTGCATCGTGTCACTGGCTACAGTGGTGTCCGCATTAGCCTCTAATATTCAAAATCGTTCGTCACATTACTTTCCTCACGAGCAATTTTTTTAACACCGTCTCACAGCCTCGAACCTTCTGATAGAGGAGGATTTACATGCCACAAGTAGCCAGATTAGCTGGACATTAGCGGCGTTCCAACTCATACAAGGGAACTTTCCGCTGTTGTGGAGCGCCGCAAGTGAGATCAAAGGCCGTAAGGTGGGTCTAAGTGTACCTTTCTCGATCTGCTTGATGAGCGCAAATCTCGTTTCTCACAGCCCGTCTATTTGGTGGCTTCAGCTATATTCGTGACAGGAAATGCTGCCTTGGCGCTCTCAAAGACCATCAAGGTGATTATTGGTATGCGAGCACTTCAAGCTGTGGGGTGAGCATCCATCCAAAAAAATTGATCAATGGCTGACTCCCCTCCTAAAGTTCCTGCGCTGTTATTTCTATTTCGGCTGCAACCCTGGCCGATATCTATGAGCCTCACGAGCGCGGTACTATGATGGGCATATTCTATGCTGCACCTCTCGTAGGACCCGCACTCGGCCCCATACTTGGCGGATCATTGTCACAAGCCTTCGGCTGGCGTGCGAGTTTCTACTTTCTAGTAATTTGTGGAGGGATCATCTTCTTGTCCTTCCTCATCCTTTTCAAGGACACGCACCGACGTGAACGAAGTCTCACATATCGCTTCGCTTTACGACGACTTCATACATCCAGAGAACCCGTTCAGAGCTCCAGCAAGTCTACCATCACTGCGCATGAGTCCAGCAAGGGCAAAACATCGGTCAAGGACACCGAGAAGCAGCTCCAACGACTGAATGTTCCAGACGATACATTAGTGGTAACTTCAGCACTTGGGCTGGACGATGTCAGGCTATCAATAAAGGACATCGACCCCTTCCGACCATACTTTCGAATTCTGTCACGAAAGAACAATGTTTTAATTCTTATCGCTAATGGTGAGTGAACAGTTATTTTGTACACTTTATTGGTGGTTTCATTTTGGGATAAGGACTCGTATTCGGTTTCACCTCTTGCCTTTCATACACGTGTGCCCGCACTCTGGCAAACTCATATAACTATGATGCGTTGAGTGTTGGCGTGGTCTTGCTTTGCTTAGGCATAGGTGAGACCTTCGTCACTTGGATTGTGGCAGAGAACTAACTTACTGTGAAGGAAGCATCGCTGGGAGTGTGATTGGTGGGCGTTGGTCCGACCGGGTGCTTGCAAAGATGATGGAAGCGAATGGAGGAAAGTGGTGTGCAGAAGTGACCCCTTTTTATACTCCCGCACTGGAGCTCTTGATTGACATCTTCCGAAGATACGCTTGGAGAGCTCGTTATTGGGGATGCCGTGGCTACCCCCGGCTGTTATCGGTTATGCTTGGGTGTGTGAAAAGCATGTCAATGTTGCTGTCATTTGCGTCATGCTCATTCTGATTGGATTTTCCTCCACGTCAGTACACCACTTATTCATTATCGTTGTTGCTCTGACATCTACTTCCAGATGGATGTCTACTAGTTTGTTGGCATACCTTGTTGATGCCAACCCTGGTCGTTCGTGTACAGCAGTGGCTACAAACAGCTCGTTCCGAGGATCTCTGGCTTTTGTTTCAGTGATTACCGCTGTGCCGCTTCAAGTGAGTTCTGTTGATATCTGCTGTCTCTCACAAATTCTGACATTAGTCTACTCTCTGTAGAATACTTTAGGAGATGGGGGGTTGTATACTGTGTGGGCTGGCATCCTGATCGTGACGGAGTTGTTGGTTATATTGGTATTGCGCAAGGGAGAATCGTGGCGCAAGGAAGGTGAGGAGCGTGAGCTAAAATGCTAAGTGAATGAATCTCGTGTTACAACTGATATGATACAAGTGATTGCTGCCGCACGGCTCGTCTTGTAGAAAGGCAATTATGTACGAGTTTGCATCTGTATAGAAGATTTCTTTTGTGACAACGGAATTATTTGAACTGGCGGGAAAGTAAACTTGTGTTGGTCTTCCAAGCCGTCACCTCCATCCACATCATCTAGCACTCATCTCCTTGGCCCGTCGCTTCTGGAACTTGATTTCTTGATACCGCCTGCCAGAAAATGAATACATGTCACAAGAGCAGCTAGAGTGCGGTGTCTTTGCACGTCGTGCTCAATTAACCTCGCCCATGCACCCCGCAACTAGTACCACACCCGACCAGCCGATGCCAAAAGCATACATTGGAAGAAGACGAGCAAATCGACCAGAACATTGTCGATGCCCTAATAAATTTATCAGCTTTTGTGTACACTACTTATCACTTCAAATCCATGAACATCAATGTTCTGGGAATGCTCCGCTTGGCAACAAAAAGGATAGCAAAGATAGCGCATACAAAGCTATATAGTGTCCATATTACAATACCAATCGCACATACCCCTTCTGATTTGAATACAAACCAAGGGTTTCGGTCGCGAATGAGTGGGGGGGAAACTATAGTAAAATCTGGTGCAGCGCAGCCAATCATTCATACCGACGGATTCTCAAAGGCACTCCAGTACCATCCTCTCCAACCACCCGTGGACGAGGTAAAAGCCCCCTCGCAACTTCGACTGGGGTATCTGGTCCATCCCGCATCTCAAACACGAAGTTCTTCACCAGAACCGATAAAACCGTCTGTATCACAGTGAATAACGTCCAAAGTTACTGATTCGCATCACTTACCTTGAACTCCATGATTGCAAAATCTTTTCCAAGACACGTCCTCGGGCCATCAATAAATGTCAGCAGATGCCTATGACCTTGGACTTCTTTGGCCTTCCCACCGATGCCGTCTTCAGTGAGCCAACGGTCAGGCTTGAATTCCTTTGCGTGAGGTCCCCAGATGGTCGAAGAGCGATTGATTGCCCCGATTGGTATCGTGATCAATGTCCCTTTCGCTATAGATATACTATCTGTCATGTTGCCAGACATCGTGCGCACAGGTTCGCTCAAGGGAATAACGTCATCTGCTGCTGCCTGTGGACTTAAAGTTGTCGTGTCTATTCACATGTAGACATGCACACTCACAAGACGAGTGGATTCTGGCACTGGAGGATGAAGTCGTAGGGTTTCATGCACAACCGCATCCAGGTACGGGAGGTTGGCCTTTAATTGGTCATATGTCGGATCAGGGCCAAAGGCAAGCAGTTCCTCTCTGAGCCTGATTTGAACATCGGGGTGTCGTGATAGCTCGATCAGCGCCCACTGATCAACGCATGAATGAAGTGCGCAGAAGTAATTATGCAGTAAACTTACCGTAAGACTGGCTGTAGACGAAGAGTCAGCAAATGTGATAGCAACGGACAAGAAACTGACTCACTGGATGTCGTCTCATAACCCGCGAGAAGCAAGACCTTCATCTGCGGGATGTGAGTTCGCAAATCATGGCTGTGATACATCGTCTCCACGGACCTGAGCCATCACTTCCTCCTCCGACATATGCGACTCGGTATCTTGACCTTCGGATTTAACTGATCGTCGCATTTTTTTTTTTTTTTTTTTTTTTTTTTTTTCCAATTTCTGTCCTATTGAGAGTTATACTCTATGGAGGACAGTTCTATCTAGTCTATGGGACCCCCAGTGTCCCTGCGCATCTCTGAGTTCGCGAATGCCCTAGTGTGAGGCGTGCCTCCACTAGTCCGCCGTTCCCGCCGGCCGTTTTAGACGCGCAACCCGGCGAAGATGAGATGACTGTATGTAGCTAATGCTAATGTTTTTCTAGCGTATGGATGAACGGAAACGCGTACTCGGCCGCCGAAGCGGGCAGGTACAGGAGTCTAGGTTGGGTGCGTAGTTAAAGTTTGTGTATGGTCCCCATGTCTTGGCCGAAGGGATGTTCTGTCACAAGCTGAGTTGTTCCAACGATGATCGGGAGGACTCCGTGTAGGCGAGTTATTGGGTATATGGGTTGGGTTGGGTATATGGGTTGGGGAGAAGTATGGTGAGATGGTTGTTGTACAGTGGGGTATTTGATGTTGATGGGCATTTATATGGTGTCTGGCGTGATGAACAGAGGCGGGTTGCTGCAAGGGTGCGTCAGCTAGCAGGGGTATGTGGAAGTGGGATGTCACCTAGTATCGCTTTCAATCTTCCTGTCGCGTTGATGTATTTTACAATATGAGGGGTGGCGGATGTATCTGTTAGGAGGAAGGATAGGGAGGAGGCTTTGCGCCCTACTTCTGCCCGGAGGGAGTGGCGTTCGCGTGCATAGAACGGACAATCGAGGATTAGGTGATGTACGGTTTCTTCGATGTTTGGGCAGTGAGGGCAATGAGGGCTGTTAGTTTTATTAATGCGGTGAAGATGTTTGTTTAAAGGAGCGTGGCCGGTGCGTAGGAATATATACATGCTTGTGAGGCGTTTGGGAAAGGAGATGGATAGTTTTATAAATGAGCGTTGTAGAATGAGTGGGTCGATTTGGTTGAGTCTGAAGAATCGCGGGGAGTTACGCCAGGAGTGGCTCCATCGTTTGGCTGTGGACTTATGCTGAGCTTGCTGTACGGCCGATATGCTTAAGGGGAGGGCTTTCTTGCGTAGGATTTTGGGTAAGCGATTATTGGGGCTGTTGTTCTCGCGGCTGGTTGCGGCCAGTTTGGCATGCTTATCCACTTCTTCATTGCCATGGACTCCCGAGTGACCCGGAACCCAACGTAGTGTTACGTCAAAGTCGTCGTACTCGCGTGCTATCTTGTGCATTCTGCTGCGGAAGAGATCTGCCAGATATGATCCAGGTCGCGGGTAGAAGCTCTCACCTGCTAGAATTGAGGCTTGGTTGTCGACTGAGATGGAGGCTGGAAAGGTCGGGTCTCGTTCTGTAGCTAGAAGGTGCGCGGCTAATAGTAGTCCTACTTCTTCAGCTTCGAATACGGTATGTTCGTCCTCTTTTCCTAGGTAGTAGCGGAGGGTTCTAGGGATCTGCCCTGCACGAAAAAGAACTGCCGCTGCACCTATTTGACCGTTATGGCCCGAGCCATCGCTATATATCTGTATGAGGTCAGTGAGTTGTTCGTGTTCTTCTATAGCCTCCTTCTTGCTATCTGCGACGTGTGTTTTCCAGCGATTCGTGTTGGAAGGGGGGCGTCGTGCCGGGGTTAGAGTCTCTATGGTATCTGGCGAGATATTGAAGCGGGAGGTGAGTCGGTGGAGGGAGGTGCGATGGGCTGATACGTAGCGTTTAGCTGCTTTGCGGATTGGGATGTGGAGGGGATGGGTGTTTGGTAGGGCGGCTATTCGAAGGGCGGCGCGATGACACGTGTTCTGTAGGAGGAGCGGGATGGGAAGTAGGTTTGCGTGGGCTTCCATTATATCTGTTGCGGTGGTTTTCATAGCCCCAGTGATCGCCATTGCTGCTAGGCGCTGGACCGTTGATAGGCGTTTCGCTACGCCTATGGAGCCTCGTTGGAGGTCGTTTGTGCCTTCGCGATAGACGGGGGAGAACCATAGGTCGGCTGCGTACAGTAGCTTGGGCACAGCTACTGCCAGGTAGAGCTGTCGCATGAGACGTAGCGGTAAGCCTTTAGCGGAGGATGAGAGACGACGTAACTGGAGTACATAGGAAGTTCCTTTCGCGACTGCGTTATCGACTTGCGCTTTCCATCGCAATTCTTGGTCGAGGATTACTCCCAAGAACCGGTGTGTTGAGGATGGGCGTATTACTGTGCCTCTTATCGGCATCTCTGGGCGGTCTTTGCGTCTATTCATTGAAAAATCCATTAACGCAAATTTATTAGTTTCGAATTGGGAGTTGTGAGCTCTCGACCAATCGTAACCGCCTCCTGTTCGTTCGAGCATGTCTGTGAGTATGGCATGGGTCGCAGTGAAGTCCTGCGCTATCGCTATGAAAGCCGTGTCATCTACGAAAGCTAACGTTAGTTCTTTCAGGGCTTCGCGTCCTGCGCGGGGTTTGGCGATGTCAGCTAAGTCAGAACTATAAATTATATACAGGATCATTGACAAGGGGTCTCCTTGCCCTATACCGTTTTTGACGGGGAACCATTCCGAGATGTATCCGTCGAATTTCAACTGTGTCTGGCGTTGGGATAGGACACGCTCTGTAAATAGGACTAGATCAGTTGGGATGCGACGGTTGCGCATGTTGTGGAGTAAGCGCTTTGTTACCGCGTTCGGGAATGCTCCCTCGATGTCGAGGAATAGCACGGATGCCACCTTGTGGGATCTCCAGGCATTTTTGATGGTCTCTTCGAGTAAGTGCAGAGAGTCAGTAGTTGACCGGCCCGGACGGCCTCCAAAGTGCGTGTTGGGCAACAATTGATGGTGTTCGAGGATGTGAGTGAGCTGGTCGGCTACTACTGCCGTTAAGAGTTTGCCGGTGGTGTTGAGTAAGGCTATCGGTCGATACGCCTTGGGGATAGAGTAATTGGCCTTCCCCGGTTTCCGTAGGACCACCGTCGAGAAGCATCGCCAAGGTTGGTAGTAGGTTTGATGCGAGAAGGCTGCGTTAAATAAGTGAAGTAAGTAGGGAGTGAGGGTGTCAGCGCATTCTTTGAAGACTATGTTACATATTCCGTCTGGGCCGGGGGCCTTGTAGCCACTGAGATTGATAATGGCCCGTGTGATCTGTTCGGCCGTGATGGGGGGTAAGGTGTCTATGGGTTCCGGGTATATGAAATCTGGGGGGACCGAATCAGCTACAGGGGGAGGAGGAAAGAACGACTTAGCTAGAATTTGACTTTTCTCCAGGTTGGTGGTTGCTTCGAGGATGGTGCCATCTTGGTTGGTGGATATTAGGGTGGGTACGCGGGTTTTACCTCCGTCTCGAGGCTCCGAGGAGATGTATCGGTTCGCAGTCCACAAGTCGTTACCTTCTATGTCTTCTAACCATTCTAACCAGTGTTGTTTCTTCGTGGCGGTGATTTCGTTGGCGTAGAGGTTCTTGGCTGTCTTGAGTTCGTCGTGGCTGGGGTGAAGGGGGAGGGCTCTCATTTGATAGGCGATCTTGCTGAGGTTCTTGACGTGCGTCCTGAGGTCCGATAAGCGCTTCGTCCACCAACGTTTTGAGTGCGGGCATGGTTTCGAGTATGGGACGCATGTGCTCATGGTGTTTGCTATTGCGTCGGAGAGATGCTTTGCGGCCGCTTGGAACTCTTCTTCGGACGCTAAAGGTTGAGCCGGGACAGCTGATATTAGTTCTGTGAGGCGCTCATTAAAAACTTTCCAGTCTACTCCACGCCAGTTGTGGCGTGGTTCATCCGGTGTTCGCTGAGTCTCGAGTTCTAGTGTCAGTAGGATGGGAATGTGGTCCGTCTTTGGTCCTCGAAGTTCTGGTGCTGTTTCGCATGAAACGATGGCGTCAAGGAGTGATTCGGTGCCGAGTACGTTGTCGGGGCGTGTCCAATTTCCGGTGCTCGTGGATTGCAGGGTTGGCGTGCCGCATGGTAGGAATTGCAACATTCCATGGTCTGCGATTAAATCTATAAGGGGATTAGCGGCTGCATAATTGAACAAATGACGGTTACGGATGTCCTCCCAGAGGGGGTGGTGGCGATTGAAATCGCCGAGCCAAAGCATATGGTCGTTATCGTGGGTCTTGATGGTAGCTATATTATTCTCTAGATATGAATCAAAAGTGGTTAGTGTGTTCTGATGCGTGCCGTCGTTATATAAGTTAAATATAGTACAGCGGCCATACTCTCCTCGTAGCTGGATAGCAACAACATCCGAGGAAGGGAAAGAGATCTGTTTCCATGCGTTCGTGTCGAGTTTGGCGTTAATTAGTATTATGGCCCTCGTCCGTTGTTGAGGGTGGGAGAAGTGTTGGGTGGGATAGATGACGTGCCAGTGATGATTTGCATGCGTGTTTCGCAGAAAGTTGATATATGGTTCCTGGATAGCAATGATATCCCAGTCGGCCATCTTGTTGTTGCTGAGTAGGGAGGATTGTGCCGTGAGGGATGTATTCAAATTCTGCTGCCAGATTCGTAGTCTCTCAGTGTTCGTTGAGTCGTAATTAGACATGGGCTGGTGATTGGGGGGCGCTGGCGGAGTCTTGGGAGGTAGGGATTGAGGTGGTGGTGGCGGTGGAGCCGGAGGCCGATGGAGCCAATGGAGAGGGTGTAGGGGTGGAGAGGTAGTCAAAGTTGATGGGAGGGTATAGGTCATTCATAATTTCATCTGCGGAGGGAGAAGAGCGGGTTAGTGGGTGAGTTTGTGTATTGGCTGGTAGTGGGGGATCGGAAGTGTCGGAAGTGTCGGTGATGTTGAAGTTGAGTGTGGCTTGACGTGTTGCGCGGGGTCCTTTGGCTGGTTGGAGTGGATCTGGGGAGAGACGAGTAGGGGGGGGTGAATTAGGAAGTTTTGGGGGGGCGATGGCGTGTGTCCAGGCGGTTTCCGTGGGGAAGTATGGCATACGATTCTCGGGGAATTTTTCGTCGAGTAGTTCACATCGTCTCTTGAATTCTGGACATTTACGGCTCCAGCTGGCATGGTCGTTGCTGCGGCAGTTTACGCATCGGTTGGTCTTGAAGGCATTGCATTGCATTGTGCGGTGTTGATCTCCGCAGGTTCCACAGGTGTCTGTTGTGTTAGTGCAACTACGCGCGATGTGTCCGTACCTCTGACACTTCGCGCATCTGATGGGTTCTTTCCTGTCTTTCCTAATGGTGATTCGTTCGTTGTCAATGCAGAGGCCGTCGCGAAGGAGGGAATTGGCTGTGCAGGCGTCCACGGCTTGAAGGAGGGCAAAAGCCTTACGTTGCTGGGGTGAGCGGCGGATTGGGGGTTTGATCCATCGAATAGTGGCTAGCGAGTTGGCGAGGAGTGAGTTCTCTTCTTCTAGTCTGCGAAGGAATTGTACGTCTCCTATCTGTAGGTGAATGGGTAAGTATTCTAGGACCAGAGCAAAGGTGCGGGAACGGAACGATACGGCGGATTCAAATTGGCTTTCTAACGATGTACGGTTGATGGGTTCCCGTAGCCATGTGGCCAGGGAGTCAGAGTCTAATTCGATGATGATACCACCGTTGCGGAGCGTGGTGATGGACTTGACGTTTCCCTCTGGGGTGCTATCGTTGCGTATGTTGTTGAGAGCTTTCTTGAGGTATTCTGCTATTTCCTTGCTTGTGGTGTTTGGTGGGAATGGGGGGGCGCCTGGGTTGGGGTCTAGCAGGATTTGTCGAGCTCTGATGGCTGCACGGCCGACGGCTTGATCTACTTTGGGTGGAAGGTGAGTAGCCACAATTGTGCTATAGGAAGGTTGGTTTGGAGCCTGAGACATGGGAGGCGTTGCCATCATTTGGGTGGACAGGTGGTTAACGCGTTCTTGAGTGGTGTCCAGGGATGGGGCTAGAGTGTTAATGGCGTTCTGGCAGTCGTTAACTGATACATATAGGGCGTCTGCTGCTTCTTCTAGTCTTTCTGCTGCTATGGAAATTCCTCCCTCTTGTTCGGTTCGTTCGTCTCTTGCTAGCCGGTGGATTCTTTCGGCCTTGTCTAGGGAGGATGTTAACGTATCTTCTGCCTTCCTTGCCGTTTCCGCTAGTGCTTCTGATGCAGCGTGTAATCCAGCGACTTGAGGGGCGAGGGCTGCAATAGCGTGGTCAACGAGTTTGTTTGTGATGGCTTCCGAGAGAGTGTCCGCTAGTTGTCTTGATGCCGCTTCCGCCATTTCGCAGACAGTATGTTTCTTCAGTAGAAATGCTACCGCCCTGATTGCTGAGATGACTGGGATTGGTGTGGTGGCCGACATTTGTGTGATGTGAAACAAAATAGAGACTAGGTGGGTTAGCGAGTAGGGTTGACCCTCTTGACAAAGTAGTTTAGATGACAGGAACTTCTCTGCGGTGTCAGTGTCCATGACATTATTGGGTACAGCTATGATCTCTTCAGTGGTGGTTTGGGTTCTGGCTGTTCTACGAGTATTAGGGCCTCCGGTCGGAGGTGGACTATTGGCCTTGGGTGGGCCAGTACCAGTGGTGGTGCCCGGTTTACCTGTTGGCATATTAGTTATAGTTCAGGTTATATACTTATGTAGATGATGTTTTTGGTGTTTTCTAGGGTTTTTATGTCGGGAATGGGCTTGGGGAGGCGCCGTTGGGCGTCTTCGGCGCTGTTGGGCGCGAATTTTGGTTGACGAGTTCCGGGGTCCTAGTCGGGGTGCCACTTGGTTCGGGTCCAAGAAGCGATGATCGTCGCATTAATTAGTAAGAGGCTACGATGAATCTCTCAGACAGCGTACTCAACAATCCAATAACAGAATTTTCCTGGCCTCTCCCGCCTATGTTGACACCCTTTTCCCGGCGGCTGCGAATCAACAATTCGTTAGATATTTGTCCCATGGTGATGCTAAGTTTCTTGAGTAGATTCCGCCGCTCAGTGGGGATCTTGAGAATGATAGGAAATACTGATGCGAGTAGGACAAAAATTTCGTTCGCTGCTGAAGGTTTGTTGCTTCCAAATGTATCAAACACTTCGGTCACGCTGGCGCGCTTTCCATCGAGCGAGCCAAAATCATGGGAGAAACCAGCAATGCCAACCGTGTCCAAACTGATGTTCCGTCAGTTCAAGGCGTCAATGACAAAATATCTTCGCGTACGATATATGATTCATCCTTTGAGTCGTTTCGATTAGGAATTGCACTTGCAAGTCAGAAAAGCTACGTACCAGTTCTGGACCTCGATTACAGCGTCACCATCTTTGCTCGATTCAAGGACAGTATCCCATTTTCCTTTGGCCTGTAACATATCAAGTTCAGAGATGCTGCATTTCCCGCATCGCAAATCCTTACCTTGTATGCTGAGTCATAAAACACCGATGTAAGCTTCCGAATGGCTCCATTACTGAATGCTGGCGTGAGGGCCTTCCGCTGCCTAGTTCGCAGGTGGTAGGTAAGTTGCTTGCGCAAGGACAAGAGCTGAACGATACCTTCTGTGAGTTTCGCCCTGAGCCCATAGTACCCCTTTGCCAACCTGACAAGAGATATGAAACAGACAAGGTAAGATGATGACGTTAACATACCGATGCCTCCAGAAACGCCAACGAAAGGGGCGTCTGCACATATGTCCAAGTCTCGCGAGCGTAGAAATGTGCAATAGCTCTTGGGTCACACAGCACGACTCTAGTCCCCCCGAGGACGCTCGGAATCATATACACTACCCCATATTCCGTCGCCCAACGTTCATAGATTGCACCACTATCTTGAGATATGGCGAGGTCGCGCGAAACGCCATATACGAGGCTGGTACGAGGCGGACCTAGCAGTTGAGTCGTCTTCACTCGCCAGCGAAGCATCCTTAGGACTTTGACAAAAACCCATAATGCAGCAAATGAACAAGCAACGTGAAATGCGCCACCCGAACGTACGGTTGTCCAGAGACTTGATGGAGAGGGGATGGTAAATAAGTTCATCGTTATGTTTAGTTCGGAGTGGGATCTATTGGGAGATCATTTATAGGTTGCCATTTCTATGGATGCTGAGAACGGCGTGGGCTACGAAGTTGAACGGCTTGTACAGGCACAGGACTATGCCCAACTGCGCTCGGAGCCGGCGCCGTTGTTTTTCGTCAGCAGTATTATTTATAGAAGCCGAAACCTGTGTATGACTCGGAATAAGACTGTGAGCACTACTTGGACCTAAGTACCTGAATGGGCGGGAGTGAATGATAGAACACCATTGTAATGATGCAAATATCGAGCGGAAGCCTATTCAGGCTTGAAGCTTAAATTAAGCTTGAATGTGCGTGATACTACTATGTGCCAAGGACTAGCACGCGCGTCACCTTCTCCGGAGATAAATACTGTTAAGTTGGTGCCGCAGGGGCCTCGAGTGTAGCTATTTTGACGCGGTCCTGCCGCGCCTGCCGCGGTCGTGACGCGGCTGTGACGCCCATGTGACGTGGCACTGACGCGGTATGTGCTATGGTTGACGCGGCACTGATAGTAGGTCTTGACGCGGCATAGAGTGTGAATGTTGATATTAGTACAGATACTGCGAAGATGTTTGGGAGACTTGTCGTGGTGTGAGTGGTGCTTGACCCAGCCAAAACGAGGCTTTTGACATGCCATGGTTGGAGCTTGACGTGGTGGTGCTGAGTAGTATAGGAAGTGGATCGAACTTGAGAGGGTGCTTGACACAGTGAGACAACACTTGACACTGCGTCTGAAAATCAATATACATGAACGAATTAGAGGTAATACAATAATACAGGACTGACGCACGAGATGCATACTAGTAGTGTGGACGCAAAGGAAAAGCACTGTAAATTTGGTGAGAAGTGAATACAGCACTATAGATGAAACCAAGAATTGGCCAGCAGTCTCATGATTAAAAACGCAACATACCGCCCCATGGCCACACACATGAATCATTGCGACGCGACAGGCTGTCACCGGGTTGATGCATGTTACCGAAGCACGAGGATAGCTTGTATCAACTTCAAGAGGTCAGGGATGGCCCCTCTACCAAGCGGTACCTCATCCTGTATTGAATGCATGCAAGTGCTGTACGATTTCTCCACTCGTGCTACAACCATGTGTCTTCTTGGTGGAGGATATAGCATCGAGTCTGTTGTAAACAACTTGACGTTAGTATGAATTTCCTCACGCCTGAAATTTAATAAGTGGTGTATCCGATGTCCCGCAAGATGCACATCTTCCCGCACCTTACTAGCTCCAATCTGGACTCTTGCTTTAGTTTAAACCGTGTCCTAAAGTCATGAACGCTAGGTTAGCTTCACAGCGGAAGCCGTCCAGCCAGCGTGAAAAGCGGACGATGCCTAGCAGAACACATGTTCAGGATGACATGAGCATTGAGAACATAATAGCGATTATGCACACAAAAAGCGAAGACGACCATGAGGTATAATTGGTTAGAGCGAAACTATCTTTTGCCAATCCATTTGATGAACTTCCGAGATAAAAATATAGATGAGCTTATAAGGGTAACGATCACATACCGGGATACCATAAATTTGCTAATTGCAAAACGCGTGACCCTCGTTCGTTATCAATCACCGTTCATTTGTGTTGAGCAGTACTGCATTCAGCCCAGTTCTCCTGGCTGTATCCGAGTTTGATTTCGCTTGGCGCTCACTGAATTGCGATAATGGTACCAAGCAGATCAGCGTTAAGCTAGAAACTGCAGGATGCACACTGTTCCGATCACACTGGATGGTTTTGGTCTGGGCGCATATGAGACTGGGACAATCTATTCTGATTCAGCATCTAACACCGAATGAATCTGCACCAACTTAAAAGCGCCGAAAGCTGATAGCCCAAGTTCGCTCACTGGCACCTGGTGTGTCAGATTCATCTCCATGTCTCTTGGTCCCGCACATATGACCATGCAACTAAAGGGCCTCACGTATGCCATGATAGCCCATAGGCATCATGACTCATCAGCGAGTATTGCAAGGTGTTGTGCTGTTTTCTTTGAGCGGGGACAGAGCTTTTAATGAGCAGGATGTGGCGTTAAAGTTAGGATTAAGAGTACTTACGAGTGCTCTGGAGCAAATTGCTTTAATGGGCGAGAAGCTGCGTCACCGATATCCAAGGTCGCTATGCTGTACGTATCGCCATATGAACTTCCTCTCAACCGAGGATCAGAAATGTCGTATCATATTAATCCACTCGCCATCCTAGCTTGCTTGTCCCCAAGCGAGAAATAGTAGAAAACCTGGTAAGAACAAGTGAACTGTTATTGAAGCCATAATTGATCACGAGCCACATTACAGCCAGATCGAGGCACTAGGCACCTTATCGACAACGAGCCATGGCTGCTAGACCCTTTGTGAGGCAGACCCCCAGGGAAGCCTCAACCCCAGTGAAATCAAACAAACCTATACCAAAGAACAAGCTTGAAGTACGCGGGAAGAGGATTCGAGATTTCGTCTTCTTACATGACAATATCCACGTTATGGGCGGTTTCGAGGACGGCACGATACATAAGTGGGACTGCAACACAGGACTCGCTGTTGGAAAGCCATTAAGAAGCGAGGGTGGAAGGATGTATGCGCTGGCTCTTTCACCGGATGGGAAGATGATTGCGTGCGGGAGGGCAGATGGAAGCGTTCAACAGTTGAATACCCATGGAAAGATCATGCTTCAAGGTGTCTGGAGGGGTCATAGGAACTGGGTGCGGTCGCTCTCGTGGTCTCCCAGCGGAGGTCATATCGCCAGCGGATCCTTCGATGGAGAAATCCTGATTCGAAAAGTAGAAAGTGGGGATGTAGAGGTGGGCCCAATCCAGACGAAGCAGATCGGTGTGTCTGCACTTGCATATTCACCTTCGGGAGAGAAGATCGCATCAGGCGGGTACAACGCTACAATCTGCATCTGGAACACGAAGACTGGCCAGCTTACCGTCGGGCCCATTAAAAACCTGTGGAGCTCTGTGATGTCGGTTGCGTGGTCGTCAGACAACACTAAACTTTATTCCGCATCCGACTTCTTTGCACGTATTTTTGATAGCGAATCAGGTGCACTACTCCATTCCTTGGAGCACGACCATATATTGTTTTCTGTTACGCTTTCACCCAAAAACAATCTCCTAGCATGTGTGGGCAGTAAAGGTGTTGCACAACTATGGGATACAGAATCCTATCAGCCACTTGGAAAGCCATTTCACGACCACCTATCCCTTCGCCATGTGGCATTTTCTCGAGACGGGAACCATCTAGCATATTGCGGAATGGACGGGAAGGTTACTCTCTGGATGGTGGAAGACATGGTTCCTGAGCTTGAAGCACCCACACTATCGCAACAAGATCATGGACAACTTGAAGCTACGCAGCAGCCTGAGGACACTCTGCCAGAGCTACAGCACAGAACTCAACCCCAGTCCCCATCATCTTCTTTCCTCGACGTTAGTACTCTTATGTTTGATGACTTGTGTTACTCGGCTCACAGTCTATCACAGGTTGATGCTACAGGGGGTGATGGCATCATCGAGGAGATGCGCGATGACCCATACAATTTTTTCCAGGTATACATTATGTTTGTCACGCGAAGGGTCTAGTACTGATGATAATTGCATGTAGTTTTCTCAAACTTCTCTTCCTGCCACAACACCGAATCCCCCTCAGCCTCCCAACCCGTCTCCAGCTCGACGCTTCTGGAAAATGATATCTCAGTCTGTTCCATTACGAGAATGCACCAAGCACAAGCTCTCGACATGGCGGGCTTGCTCAAATACATCCATTGAGCCTGCAACCACAACACACCATCAACAAACACCTGACGAGAAGTTGCGAGCAGAAGAAAATGATAAGGCCAGCATCCAAGATGCCGATGTAAGTCGTGTTTCTGCTATTGAACAAATCATCTCAATGTGATGGATGATCAGTGTCCCCCAAATGCTCTGGGCTCCAACAAACTAGAAGCAGATGAAGGCAAGCCACGAGGAAGGTGTCTTACCAGCACGCAAAGCTCACCTACAGAGATTTGGAAATGGTCGGTGCATACTCGAAGGAAGGATCCTACATCCGTCAGCATGGCTCCACATCCAGAAGTCGTTGAGGTATTTGCCGTGCGCGGGTTCCAGGTAAGCTTTGGCTCCATGTTCTAAACAATTGTATTCTTAGTAGAGACTGGGAATAACAGAAATACATGGCTTCGATACTGAAACGCGAGACAAAGTCATCGGCAATAACGTGCAACACTCCTCTCGCTGTAGATCACACGAGCGGGTCTTCGGTAACTCGACTTGCAAATGCACCCCAACACAGAATACCCCAGAATTCCCGGCACTGGAATTCCAGCTCAACTCCCATAGGATCTTCCAGATGTCCTGTCGATGTGGCTGCTTGTCGCGATGAAAACGTGAGTTACTCATCCTCCCTCCCCTTTCATATAATTGAGGTCACTCTGCAGAGATACGGCATTGTCCCTGAATCTGACGCGGAAGCGGCTGCAGCCATGCAACGCACGAATGACCATATAGCCAACAGTTCAACGCTACCAGGTCAACCTGCAGTAGTGGCGCAGGTTTCTCAAGGACGGCCCATACAAACACAAGCCTCGACAAGCGGGATGGAAGAAATTGTAGTAAGCTGCTGTGGATTTATCATTAGTTGTCGTCGTTCCAATTCGCATCAGCCATGAGTTCATTTGCTGAGACGCTCTATGTCATTCGATAACTTATTTGTCTTTGTTCATATAAATGTACGGTTTGTAGGACCAGGGGGTGGGGTGGTATTGGATATGATAAATTTCCTATTGCTCGTGGTATTTACAGTAAATTTATCACTGCGTTTGTAGTCGTTTGGATCGCATTTCCAACAGGAAAGGCTCTCAGGTGGATTGCAGGTGCAGGTTACATGGTTACAGCCGATGCAACAAGGTCAGCCATCGTAGTTTTCAAGAGACTTGACGACAAAGCGGTCTTTGTCAATCGTATTTACGACCGATTGCAACAAACTGCTACTAGTTAGTTTATCACGAATATTTACGTGAGAGAAGTCATGTTGACCACGACAGTAGGCATTGCGTATATGCACATTATGGTTGCTAGTGTACTAACATCGGAAACCGACGGATGATCGATGATCATTCGATCATGATAAGAACTATCCACCTGATACACATAAACTTATCATTTGTACCCGAAATACTGTGAGCACGGTCATGGACTTATCGTTTGCAGCCGAAATGCCATGATTCTGAAGAGAACCTGTCTTTGTTAACGCTCTTGATGTCAAAAAATCAAAATTTCACTGTTGGCTGAAGCTTGAAGTTCAGACGTCTCCATGCCAGCGCGATGGGGGCTGAAGTCATGGAACACCAACAACTAGAGAGCATCAATCAATAAGTAGGGTTCCGCACGGGTAACACCGCGGGTCGGAAACTCAACACCGTACCCGTACCCGCCAACACCGCACCCGCCACGGGTACGGGTACACACCGACCCGTAAACACCGTGAGGGTACACACCGACCCGTAAGCACCGCGGGTACATTAACAAGAAGAGTGTATTAACGACTAGGACAATAAAATAAGTATTGCTATTTTTCCTCGTCATCCTTCTCACCCTCAACTTCGCTTCGCTTCCGTTTCTGACTCCTTACAGAGGCTAGAAGGTCCTCCATCGCCAGAAGATCACTTCTGCCCCAGGCTCCAAGGCAGAGAAAGGCGCGAATTGTTGATGGTGCGAGTCGGTTGCGAGTAAAGTGAAGGAGCTGCCGAGCCTGTGAGAAGACACGTTCGACCGCAGTTGATGTCGCTGAGCAAGATAATAAGTACTGATTGGTTGAAAGAAGATTCAAGCGTGGCATACCTGGGACGGAGAGATAGTCTAGTGCCATCCGATGTAGTGTCGGATAAGTATGGCAGTTGTCTTGCCACCATGCAGGTGGGTCCTTGGTCTTCACAGTCGGTAGTCGAAGGAACTCCTCCAGTTCGCTACTAGTAGTGCGAGACATAGAACCAAGTGAGTAGTCGCCAAAGTCATCATCATTCTGTATAGTTGTCAATGTCAGCATATGATTAAATGTTGCACACGGACCGCATCTGCTGCAGTGTCATCAGTAGTCTCTGAAGGGTAGGTCATACCCGTCCAAACACCGCCAACCCGCGGTAAAGGGTCGGGGTGTGCTCAAGGGTATGGATATCCTACACCGTACCCGTACCCGCCAAACCCGTTAGCATAGAACCGCGGTGTTACCCGTACCCGTGCGTTTCCCTATCAATAAGCATAGCATGGGCATTATGCGATGGAACATCCCCACACTATTGATAACTCTTGATGTCTTCAGCGGATCCTTGTATTATCGTCAAGGAAAAGTTCTAGGACTATATAATATCAGCACAAACACAAAAAAAAGGTGGAGCTCGTATATCTAGATAAGCGATGGGACCGTTCTTCTTTGAGAAAATGTTCTCGGACGACTATGCAAGTCCTGCAGCGAGTACAGATCTTAATTAGCTGAACGCCTCGGGACAGCGAACGCGCACAGTGAACGTGACAGTATCTTGACTCTGGGGTGAGTTTATATTTAGTTCTGTGCCAGACTCCGACAATGGCATCAGGCAGGAACGTCGCACAGGCCCGACGAGTTGGAGCTTCCCAGTAAGCGAGTCGTATTTGACACAACCACTTGGAAAGCACCAACTAACCAGCATAGTTCCGTGGGTGTGCGGGGAGTAAAAGGATTATGCTGATCGTAGAAAATATTGATCCACCATTAGGCCGATCACCGTGAACTGTTTCGTGGTGGGATGCCCATGATTAGCAGAAACGGGCAGGTGGATCGTTGAGTCAGCAGTGTGTGAGGCGCCGCTTCAAAAATCAAAATAGTCTCTACTTTGGCTTCGAGCTTCTGCTAATTGCAAGTGCCAACAATTCCATGTCTTATCCTTTCTTCGAGTATAGTCCCAGCGCTAACAAGAGCAAGTATAAATTCAACGCGATTGAATTGAAAAGGTGGCCGTTCCCTTCCTCACTTCCATTTGCAATTGCCTTTCCAATTCCTTTCTGCCCACGACACTATAAACGACTCTACTAAGTGTCGTAACTTGCTCGGATCCCAAGTGAACGCGAACTTTGAGAATTGAGCAGCCCTTTTGAGTCCCATTAGTAACTAAGTGGCCACTTATACAGGCAGGATATATCACCTTGCAGTATGTCGCGTTCTGTATTTGCCTCTAGTAGCACTAACGGTGATCCAGTGAACATTGGCCAACCAGCCTGAGACGCTTGGATACTATCACGTGTGGTTCACCATTATTCGCGTGTCAAGCCTTGTCCCCGCTGTATCGAGCCTCATTCATATCGTATCCATTCCCTCTCATACCTCAGCAAAACTGCATAAAGCTTTGGCTATGCCACGTCATTTTCACTCGATGATATGCCAAGGCCGCGTCAAACCACGCGGAGACAGGAAGAGTAGGCGATATTATCAGGAATTAATATTGTAGGCTAGTCGGGTACGCTGCTAATAGCTCTGACGTGGCATCTTTGCCTCATCACAACCGCGTCACTGGTGAATCATGACAAAGGCAGAACTCCGTGGCAGCCGGAATCGCTACACCCACGAAATGACTAGATGGGATAGGTTCTCCCGAGTCCCACAGTATCGTCCGCTGGGCATAACCATTTTGCCAAACCTTGTTGATGATATAAAAGCGAGTCATCTTCCTACTGTCACCAGCGTCCACCCATCTCAGACTCAAAGAGATCATTCGAGTACCTCAGCAGATCATACCACCCTAAACAGACAATGCGTTTCTTCTTCCCCGCCATTATTATTGCGTTGACAGCATCTATAATGTCTGTTACAGCAAGGCGAGTCCCAGCCTGTAGTCCTGAAGGCGAGAGGTGCAACACGGCTAGCGACTGTTGCGATAAAAATGCGGACTGCGTTGTTACGTGCGCGGTGCCCAACCAGAACATTCCGGGCTGAGAACAAGCCGACTTGCACGTAGCGACAAACTGGTGAGTACTTTTACATTTGTATTGGTGCTGTTGTTAATATAGCAATATGCAGAACGCTGCTGAATGAGAAATGAGCAGAGGCAGTACTGGGTGGAAGGAGTACATGATATGAGTGTATGAGGGAGGTATTTGCGTACTGTCTGGTCTGGGATAAATAGAGCACCATGGGTCGGACCGGCCAGCTATAACTCAAATGCTCGTTAGCTAAAAGACGCGCAATTTGATTATATCAAAAGTCTACTCGACAGGGTATGCAATCATTCATACCATTTTTACCTGTGATTTAGCCGGTCCATTTAGCCATCCAATACGTCGAGGATTAATTTTGGGCCCATATTTCTCGATCTGGATGCATTATTCCACCTATGGAGCTTGATGTCCAAATCACGTTGAGTTGTGCACAATTAGCATCAACTCTGGCCGATGCATATACCAATCCTAGTAGGTTCTCTTTATATTCGGTACTTACGCCCTGACTAAACAGCAACAGTTGAGCTGAACTTCGACTCTTTATTCACGAATACGTGCGAGAAGTCATGTTGACCACAACAGTGGCCATTGCGTATATGCACATTATGGTTGCTAGTGTGCTAACATCGGGACCCGGTGGATGATCGTTCGATCATGATAAGAACTATCCACCTGATACGGTCATGAAATTATCATTTACACCCGAAATACTGTGAGCACGGTCATGGACTTATCGTTTGCAGCTGAAATGCTGTAACTCTGAAGAGACTTTATTCACGAATACATGCAAGAAGTCATGTTGACCACGACAGTGGCCATTGCGTATATGCACATTGTGGTTGCTAGTGTGCTAACATCGGGACCCTGTGGATGATCGTTCAATTATGATAAGGACTATCCACCTGATACGGTCATAAAATTATCATTTACACCCGAAATACTGTGAGCACGGTCATGGACTTATCGTTTGCAGCCGAAATGCTGTGAGTATTTGAACCTGTCAAATGAATTAGCGTCACCTTATCAGTGTATCCAACACATAAACTGGCACCACTCATCTTGCTATCCTGCGACCAAGTAAGAGATAGCAAACAACCCGGTGAGAATCGATTTGAACTACTCCACCCACAATTGATCACGAACCGTGTCAGAGCGAGACTTGATACACCGGGAACCTTACCGGCGACAAGCTATGGCTGCTAGATTTTTCCGCAGGAAAGCTTCAACTCCTAGGAAAGAATTTGAGGGCCATGAGAACATTATATGGAGTCTCGTCTTCTTGCACGATAATGTCCACATCGTGAGCGCATCGCGAAATGGCATGATGCGGAAGTGGAATTGCGATACGGGACATCTTGTCGGTGAACCGTGGAAAGGTACGGGAGGAGATATAACCGCACTGGCATTGTCACCGAACGGGAAGATAATTGCGTGTGGGAGGGTGAACAGGGGTGTTGAGCGGTGGACCACCAACGGAAAGATGATTAGTAATTGGAGGGGTCACAGAAAGGCGGTGCGATCGGTGTCGTGGTCTCCAAACGGAAAATATGTCCACCACTTAAACATAAATTTTACGACCAACTCTTATACTCACCTTACAAAATGTCTAACACCTACAATTAGTAAAATCACGGCACGTCAATCTGTAAACTCATAAATAGTATTATACGTTTAAGTCCCGTGGCCAATGACTAGGGTGATGAGGATGATTTAGCTTCCCTTTCATTCATATTGAAACTAGCGACTTACTTCTGTGCAATATCATTTTGGCTACAGATCCGTAAAGCCACAACTTGGCCACGGGCGTCTTCGATATGACACAATTATGGTATAACGTCCAAAAGTTATGACTCACCAGTAAGTGGCATCCTGCTGCGAATCGGTACTTTTGACTTTGTATGTCATTTGTTGGAGCAGTGGATATCATATGGCGGCAGTTAGATATACCTGGTCTATTCATTTGATAATAGATACTACATTATAATCCTAAATGTGATGGCCCGTTTGTTGCAATCTGTCACATGAGTCAAGCTGTAGTAACCATAGATCAGTAGTCAAACTTATGCCCTCTCGATATATGTTTCAAACTATTTTTACTGTGGAGCATCTCTTGCACTTACTTCGTTCTGATGCATGATTTCAATCTCAGGCAGTAATCGCATATATTTCATAAACAGTGACGAAAAGTAAAGGTTTCCCAGACACCTCTAGCGTATATGTATTGGCTGTCATTCAATGTCTCAATTGTGTAGCCTCGCCATGTTACACAATTAGGTCTACATGGGGGATACGCGA